TGAGAAGTTGACTGAAATGCTCTACCCATCTGGTCATTCTACCGTCGATATCGGGGATCAGTTCCCCGGATGAGTCGCGCAGAACGGGCTGTGAAGATTGCCTTCTACCGGACGCTGAACTTATGAGGCGAAAGAGATCTCCGAAGTGATATGAACTGGCTGCGGTTTCCATCTTGGTCACCCTGCCCTTGCACTTCACGAAATGCTCCCATACGACCAAGCGTCTCAAAAAGCCTCTGCTGAGGAAGCCCTACTCACCGCCTTCTCGCGGCGGAGGTGTTTTTCCATCAAAGTGAGAAGACGAAAAGCCGATATCCGGGGCTAAAGCCGAGTTGGTGGACCACTGGCATTTCACCTAGGGGAGTTGGCCAAAAACCCTGTTTCCAAACCAACCATGAGGAGGCTTACGAACCACACCCACACCATTTCGGTTGTGGCAGTGGTCACCGGCTCGATCGGCCATATGATCCGATGAACTGGACACCGGCTCCCAATGAATTGCGGTTGTCACACACCGCCCAGCTGCCTTGCGAGTCAGGCTTTGGCTAGCCGAAGGCTCCGGTTGTGGATTCCTCAAGAAAACTCATCTGCCTTGGGATGGGCAATCTGGCAGTACTCAACCCACAAGTCAATCATGGAACATTTTCTTTTTATAAAGATTATTGTACCATGATTTGGTTGGCACACAGTCTGTCCTCAGACATGTGTGAAATATAATATATATTATAATACATAACAAAGGTAAACAGAAAAGGAGGAGAGAGGGCAACCCTGACGAACACAACTTTCCGTGGTGAACTCGGGTGAAAAAGTGCCGAAAGCTGGGACTTGACTTCGGTTATACGGTCGACAGGTGCGCTCCTTCAAACTTACCATTCGAACCCATAGCAACCCCAACGAGACCCAACTCGCCAAATGTACGCCCGTCCGATCCCACATGACCGACATGACGAAAATCGTTCTGGGGCAAACTGATCTTGTCTGCAGTTAGGCGGGATCCACGAGTACCTGGTGTACCAGAGTTCCCGGTTCCGTTGTGTGTCCCGGTCCCGGTCGTCAGTTTGGTCAGGCGAGACACTGTTTCTGAGATACAATAATGATCAGGTGCAAATAAAAAGAGAGTGGGTGGGCGAATGAGCGACTTCGATGTGACATACTAAACTGACAGCGAATTTGGGGACCAGAAAAGCTTGAGTAACAGAACAATCATCATGATGTTGTTGTATAAAACACGTGGAGACGAAGTCCACAACACCAATCAGTTGAGTGGAAACGGAGAATGAACGAAAAAATTAGCAAACCCTTGAAACATGTCTCAGACAACGTGTGACAATATGAGTTTATTCATCATCGGACAAAATTATGTCTTATGCTTGTCTGCGTGCATCATTGATGGAAAGTCGGTACAATTATATCGAGGTATGGGACTAAATGAACACTGCGTGAAAAACTCAGATGTGCTTATATCATGTTTACTTGTCAGTGGTGGTTCGCAGCTATCTGTTATCAGGAACAATACGAGCATTTTTACGATCGCTTTCTGACCAAGTTAGTGTGGTTATTTCGAACTAATTGCTCTCGAACGCCAATGGCTAGTTTGCGTTAACAACAAACAGATGCCACCAACACTCTGGAAGTTACATTAGAGTTGACCGACAAAATCACGATGGCGACCCGGTGTGCTTTTTCCGTCAACTCGAACGAGTGCGCAGGCGTGAACAAGTGTGCACCGAGGGCTAAGCAATTCGTTTCCGGTGCTGAGTCATGATAGGCTAGTGCATACGACACTGTTTGTCCAACATTCTATCTCACACAAAAAGTAGGTCATGTGCGGAAAAAAAACAATAATCGTTTGTGTCTTTTTTGCCTCAACCCCATCTATTTCCAATTTAGTCTGATCGCATCTCAAGTTAAAATGCACTGGAAATTGTTCCCTCTCGAAGAGCAGCACGAGAAACTTCCACGTTCAGTCGGAATATCAGACATTCAGGCATGACAATTGTACCTGTTATTCGAGTTTTATCTGTGTACGAACCATGTGCTACAGCTGCGAGACACCCGGCACAGAGAGCTTCCCTGTACCTGATACGAACAGGCGCTGGGCGAATGTAGTGCTTAGATATGGGTCACAGCTATGTATTCCGAGTCCTTAAGAACAATGGAAAATAAATGGCTGAAATTTAGTGTGCACTCCGTGTCCGGAGTGAGACTTTGGTTCACGGAGCAAATCGGAAATCGAATCATCAGAACATTCCGTTCCACTGAAATGACTCACACATTATTCCTGCTAGACATTTCTCCATACATCGATAGGTGGCGGGTGCGTTAACCACCCATTTGTCGTGTCATTATCCATAAACGAGCGATGACAGGGATAGACAGAGTATTTTGGGTTACCGTAGCCATAAACCATTATCGTTCACTGGTCCCGCAGACGAGGACAATTGTTACGTACACCTCCATCTGAAATTTCTCACTTTGCGATGTCTACTAAGGCACATTGTTAGTCAAAGAAAGTCAAGTTTGGTCGCGATCGGATGAGAGTATGATGACCTTAAGGAGTGTATGGGGTTGTTTCATGTGAGTAATGGGTGATTTGATTCAATTTCAAAGGTGAATTCGGCGTGTATATAGCAAATGAAACGTGAACTGAAAATCTAGGAAGCACTGGATAGCTGTTTCAACCTGGTTGAGTCTCATCAGCAGTGCGAATCCATCGACAAGGAGTTATGTTATTGTAACTTATAGCTCTCGAAGGCTAGACATATTGAGTAATTTGCATGTGTTTCGGACACAGAGGCACTCAGAGATCTGTATCAAAGTCCACGGATGTACAAATAGGAAGCTGATCGGGGATGTTGGAACAAATATTTTGACCCAGTTATTTACATTGTGGCCGCGGCTGAAGCGGTGTTGCCATCATCCGGCAAAATACCACATCTATCCTTTGGGGGCCTCATGTGGCTCGATACTCCAGGTTCCGTCGCACAGGGCTCAGCCTTTACGATTTCCGCTACACTGATGTACAACCAACGGCGACCGCTAAGCCAAGCATAAAATATGATAAACTTCTGTANAGAACCAGCTTCAAGATGAAACCTCTCCATTTCTATTGATGATGGACTCAAATTGGGCACGTTGCCACTGGTTAAGATTGTCGTAGATCCATTGACAAAAACTACCCCTCCTACTGGTCAATATCTGGGGCTCCTAAAAGTCCTTTGAACTGGGTCAGATGCTGCACATGATGCACAAACGTATCACCAGAAAAGGATTTCGAAGTGGATCCGTCTCATCAACGAATTGATCTTGTGCTTACCAAGTATGAGATTCACTGTACTAATCGTGTGATAGGGGAATGGAATACAACGCGGTACAGCCAACCAAAATTGGTATCTAAACAACGTAGATGCACATTTGCTACGGACCATATTTGGATTGAAATCCTTTGAGTTGGATGAACAACTGGTAAACTTGCAAACTGAATCAGTCAAAGGCATAAACCTGACTCATATCAAACACATCCGGAGTAGTATACGGTATAGTTGGGAGAAGTATCACAATTTACGCTGCAGATAGGAGAATCCTGTAATCGGAAAGATCCCTACCAGAGAAAACGTGTCACAATTGGATTGCAACAATGAGTGCGAAAACAGTTTCCTATAGATCAGGAAACCAGTTCAGATTGTGATCAAGCTGTCGACAGTATTAAAAATCTGCTGGCATTTTGCTGACAAGTGTGATCGATCACTGAAAACCGGACGTCATTTCCAGGTGAACACAAACAGATAGATAGACACACACACACACTGATAGCATGCGAGTGAATGCGGTAATTGGAAGCGACATTCCGAAACGAAACCATGCGGGTGCTAGTGCGAAGCCTAATGTGGATTGCGATCCACTTGGAGGTCAAAACAAGAACACAGATACCCCGAGGCCAATTAGTTTGTACCCTCGGGTCTGTATGAATTGACGGCAGTCTGAGACTGGCTGACTACGTGCTACCGGTGATAGGAAATTCGGGACTGTCCCATGAAATTTGCTCAGTAAATCACATTGTTTTCTTTTTAATTATCCGTTTCCAAGCGTTGAAACCTAGCCCAACAATCGCGTGCAATGAACGGCTAGAACAAAGTAGCTTATTCTGCCCTATCTCCAAAACACAGGCAGATTCCAAGGAGCTTGTCATTCCAATGCGATGTTTAGGTTCACTCATTAAGGGCCGATCGATACCGCGGATTGCTCGATACACGTTTGTGGTGATAAACACCTGAGGACAGATACGCTTTAGCTAATACGGTACGTGACTTACAAGATGAGATATTGTTGGGGAACACGTGCTAGAATCTGACGAGTGATTATAAGCCGGTTGAATTTAGATTGCCGAGAATAAGGTGAGAGCTGCCAACGAATGAAAAAAAGATGTATAAGCAGTGCATCCATGAGCGAGATGCATCCTCACGGAAGTCTCAAAAGAGAAGTCGATGTGCGACTGATGTCAAGCCTCGCTGACTTATGGAGGTCACAGTAAATCAGTTAGAATCACAGACGAGGAAGGTTAACGGTATCAAGGATTCGCGGGTATGCAAAAGGATCTATACAGGAGAGACCCACAGTTACTCTCAAATCTAGTATTCTGATATTGAAATTTCGTCAACTCACCGGATTGCTTAAAACGGTAAACACTACAGTCAAAAATACAGATGGGAGTGAAGTCCAGGTTTTTAGCGATATTGTGAACCAGAGTTGGTATTCAAGATAAATGGTCTACAACCAGACTGCTTACGATTCACAACCATCCAAAAAACGGTTGTGAAGTCATTTCCAGTTTAATAAATGGAGTAAATAAGATGTTTACCTGTTAATACGTTAGTCCCAACTACACCACGATTCGTAAACAAGAGTTAGTGCCAATTCGATTATGCGTGTGTCGATGAGCGTGATCCATTTTACATTCTTAAATGAGCTCCAGTCAACCAACATTTCAGTGTATTGTACTGTTAATTTTTGCATTCTCTATCATCAACCGTAAAACTAACCAAAAACAAAGTTTCATAGACGATTTCCGAAACTTAACGTGGAGAAAATATTCTTCTGGAGGACTTGGTTAATATGAAAAGCATAATTTCTTTTACCGAATTCTCCATATTTTCTAACATCACAGCTATTTCTTCTATTGTGACCTTTGAACGGGCTGTTCTGATTTGTATCGTGACCAAAGCTGTCCGGTTAAAACTTGAACCGAAACATTTTCTCTCCCGGTCAGGACACGATATTATCATGCGAAATCATGCTTCAGTTCGACCGTGTGAAAAACAAACTATCAGTGCTGATCGGGATCGGACTAGGGTGACCTTAACTGAATATACCCTGAAATTGTTTTCTCTACAAAGGGTTGTTGTCGTCCGCTGAGGCACGTGTGTTAGGTCCTGCTCTGACGTTCAGGAATTGAATTGCCTATTCGCTGCCGAAACCGAAACCAGTTCTCCTTTGGTTGCATTTCCAATCCACAGTGAAATAAGCACAGCACACAATACTGAGGTTTTCAGGTTCAACAAAAAATGTAGACTTGCTGTTGAAAGCACGTACGGAGCAGCCTGGATAACTCATTGCGGAATAGTGCAACCCGTTCTTCCTCACGGAAGAAGCTTCCATGGTTAGCCCAAATGAGACCGATTCCCAAGAAAGGTTCAAAAATTACTGTCTGAAGGAGCGTGATATTATATTATATTTTTACACACGTCTTAATTCAGATTGTGTGCCAAACAAATCATGGTATTCCGTGAACGTCCAAGTGTTTGAAAATGACTTGCTGCACCGAATGTTTGAACTGTCTGAGTCTGATGATTCTATTTAGTTGGGCTCTATTCACGCATTTCTCCATCATCCACAGTGTAAATTTTGCTGCATTCATCTTAGACAGGGGTGCAAATATTAATTATTTGACTGTTTACGATTAAATAAACCTTCTTGGTTCGCTTAGCTGACAGGGTATTATGTAATGTCTCCAAGTTCGACATGATGCCCGATCTTTTGAGTAAGCCACAAGCTTTATGCCTGATGTTTGTTGTGTAATCAGCGAAAAAACCACATACATAGCCAGGGAACGAGGAGGAAGTGGTCGAATCTGAGCTTGAGTTAAAGTTCCGGTTAATGCCTTTTGAAAGATAATCATTTTTGAAATCATGGCTGTATTGTACATGGAGAACCTTTGTTGCCAGCCGGTATGATGACGAAATAATTGATTGTTTATTCCCTGATCCAGAGGGTTTCTGCTCCTTCCACGGCGATCTTCTTTTACCAAGTATGTTGATGTTCCTTCAGCCTAAAAATTGATCCCACTATCCTAACTTATTGATTGATCTATCTAGCCCTATTGGCGATATCCAGAGCATTTTTCTCGGTTATGCACTTCGGTATTATTCTAATCCACATTATTTTGAGTCTTGCATTTCTGAACAACATTTTGTCGGCCGCCCTTCTCTTCACACGAATTGAGGAAGGTAACTATTTTATGGAATATTGAATTTGTTGATTGCATGCATTCTTCCCTGCAGTTCAGTTCATTTTGTACAAACAGTATCATGCAATTTCGTGCGCCGGGTTTGGCTGCCCATTTGGATGAAGAATAGGAGAAGACAGGAAAGTTGAACGTAGAGTCGAACAGAAATTGGAGAAGTTCAGTGGTGTAAGTTTGCAAAGAAATTTAGAAGATGCAACAATGCCACTGTTTACGACACTCAGCCATGTTACTCAGTGTCTCTAACTATCGAGACCATAATCTCTGGGTCCCCAGCCAGGGAGTTTGACGGGAACTATGTGACCCAGTCTTCTGGTCAGGGTTTTCATACCCTCATGCTATATCTTAGTTTCCAACTGCTTTCTGCCTCGGAAAACATCGCTCACCATGTCAATCTATCTGATGACATGCGTAGCAGATGTCCCAACCAGCATAATCTATGAAGGTCGACTACTTGGTAAAGTAGAAGACCACGATTACCGAAAACTCTACGCCTAACCTCAGCATTGTTCATCCGGCTGCCCCACCAGATTCGTGCAATGCTGCGTAGACAGCGGTGCTCATACACCGACTATTCATCTTTGTCCAGTTTTCTTAATGACCAAGTTTATGCGCCCTACCCGCAGCTCTGTTTTTCATAATCCCCCAACATTGTTAGCAAAGATATTTTGCCCCTTTTTCCGGGTCCCTCAAATAGCTTTCTCAACGCGATGGTATAATCGGGAAAGTTATAGTTGACATCTTTATTTGCACGCAACTGGATAATCAGGACAGGTTTATTGTTTTGATAACTCGAAATGAAGTGCACTGCCTGCCCCATGAAACTACCAAAGTTTTCCCGAACACTGCCTCCTGTTTGGATGCACATTCACCTACACAAACAGTCTCGGCCTGTGTGCTGTTCATTTTTTTCGATAACCGTAAACCAATTGCCACTGGCACTAAGGGACGACAAACGAACTCGTGCTTTCCACATGATACAATGCCGAAATAGATCTGCTGTCTATATCAGTCATTATTCACTGCTTGTATTCGTGAAATGCTGAGAATTCAACTTCGGATGCATGATATAACTTTGAATAGTGGATTACAGATCACGCGATCACGTGAGAGGGTAGAAAACGGACGGATCAATAACTGAGTGAGTGCACAAGCTGAGCACATTCACACGAACCGTTCAAAATCACGAGATGGAGTAGCTAAATTAGAAAAATCATGTATACTATGGATATGACAAGATGAGATGAATGGACAGAAGGGCGACAGAGAAAAAACACTGCGGAGGAAGAGCATGGAGTAAAGGAAAACAATAGATGATTAACAAGACAACTGTAGAGGAGCTAAGCCTTTGTCTCTCCCCAAAAGGACTGCACTGACGTTCACATACGAAGCGAACAACTCATAGAGGATTAGGGAAAACGCGGAACACATGCGAAAGCAAAAGTGCAAAAACACGGGGTAATTCACACCAGAGGAAACGGATGAGCACAGATTGATGCAACGCGAGACAAACACATGCAATGCAATCGGGCAGGTGAAAAATTTTAATCGCGGTTGTTTTTCGGGAGGTGGGGGTGGGGGAAGGAGTATTGTGATTAAACCCAATCACAGTTGAGTCAGGGATTGAGCAGGGTAATATGAATATGAAACTCACTTCGAAAAGCCAAATCCGACAAGGAGGCTAGGATGAAAGAGGTGACGAGTGAGGCAGGAGCGGTGCAGCCAAAATTGAGCGAGAGATCGGAAAAACGATGATGAATGGGGATCAAAGGTGATGGTGGAAACACCGTTGACTGTGCGCACTGAGTGTGGATGCTGAATAACATTAGTCCTTATTATATAAAATCGGCTTATCACACAACCCAACGTGGTCAATGGATAGAAACCAAGCTTAGAGATTGCACCTGTGTGCACAAATGTAACGGGCAAACACTTTGCGCATTGCGAGGAAGAAGGGTGACCCACATGAGTGTGGGTGAACCATAACGCTTGGTTCGTGAAGTCCAGCAACGTAGGGATCATTCAACAGCATGCTTTTCAGATCCAGTTGATTTGAAAACTGAATAGCTTGGCTTAAACATGGATTATGCACTGCTTGATCAGAACGGACTCAAAATTAAATAATCGGGATAGTCGTCGAGACGAATACTAGATTATTGTTGAAGTGAAATAAGACCGAAGCCAGATATTGAGGGGGATAATCCGGGTATTATACCATAACAGACTATCGAAAGGATGTTGTGCCTTTCTAACTGAGTGAAGTAATCTCGCTGATGGAATCGACGACAAAACATGGACGAATAAGGGTGATTCACGCATTGGTGCCAAGACACGACTATTATAGTGGATGGATTAGAATATGCGAAACCAGTACTGAACGATTTCGTCAAATACTGTGATTACAAATATTAACCTGCTAATTTCTTTTTCGTGAATAAAAATACGGTAAAATTCTGAGTAAGAGGCTGAGAACGATGAGAAGCGAAAATTGTGAGCAAAGAAACAGGGTGGTAATTAGATGGAGTTGAAAAAGAGCTCTGTTAAGCCATTGACTACCGCACTCCGGTTCAAGTAAAGTTTTATTTGGTACATGGAAACACATATAATTCATCAATTGGATGAGAATAAACGCATTGGCTATAAACTGGCAGCATTGCATTACGATCGAAACTAATCTCGC